TACTTATATATTATAAACTCTGGTGAATCCAATTTTATAAAATGTACACTGCTAAAGTTAAACATGAAGACTAACACCGACACGTTAACAGTGAGGGTGTTTGCTGAATACGTGCGTGGAAAAAGAGACGAGGGATAGCAGGTTAGTTCTGTTTTAAAGAGAAATTTGGGACTACTGAATAAGGAAAGGCAGGAATGTTCTGGTTTAAGATCTCATGCTCTGATTTCACTCTGCTCTTAACACTTAAAAAAAATCAACCTGGGGGCTGCTGGAGAGATGGCTTAGTGATTAAGACTGTTCTTCCAGAGGATGGGGTTCGATTCCCAGCACTCACGCGGCAGTTCACAACTGTCCGTTAACTCCAAGACCCAAAACCCTCACACAGACAGGCACGCAGGCAAAACGCCAATGCACATAAAATAAGAATAAAATTATTTTTTTAAAAATCAGCCTGGGGACTGGAGATGTGACTCAGTTGGTCTAGTGCTTGCCTAGCATGGGTAAAGCCCTGGACTCTAGACAGAACACAAAGTTGACTTGCTGTGGTGGCACATTCCTCTAATTCCAGCACTGTAGAAGCAGAAGCAGGAGGATCAGAAGTTCAAGACCAGCCTGGGGTCCATGAGATTCTGTCTCAAAAAGCAAGCAAACAAGCCAGGCGGTGGTGGCGCACACCTTTAATCCCAGCACTCAGGAGGCAGAGGCAGGCGGATCTCTGTGAGTTGGAGGCCAGAGCGAGTTCCAGTACAGCCTCCAAAGCCACAGAGAAACCCTGTCTCGAAAAACCAAAAAAAAAAAAACAAAAACAAAAACAAAAACAAAATAACTGTGCATCCTATCTGACCATAAAGCAGTAAAACTTAAAATCAGTAGCAAACCAACTCTAGTGAGTACACAAACTCATGAAGATTAAATAACTCATTAATTGAATGTTGACTGGGCCAAAAAAGAAATCAAGAAACTGAAAAAACCCTGGAATTAGATGAAAATGAAAACACAACACAACAAAACCTTTGGGACATGCTAAAAGCAGTCCTAGGAGAAAAACTTGTAGGCTTAAGTGCTTACATCAAAAAAATCGGAACAAGCACAAAAATACTTAATAATCCAACTTTAAGGATTTAGAGACACAATAATAAACCAAACCAAAACCAAGAAGACAGCAAGGCATAATAAAAATCAGACCAGAAACTAATGGAATAAAAACGTGCTGATGATGGTCTATCTTCTTTGAGGGTCTGGCAGAATTCTGAACTGCGTCCACCTGGCCTTGGGCCTAGCTCTCTCTTCATTTGATTAACTTTGTGGGTTAGATTTTCCAGGTTGGTCGAATACACACAGATTTTTAAAAAGTAACAACAAGGAGACTGCTTATTAATTATCAGCTTAGATTTGTTTTTAATGCCAGTTAATACTAAGTTGAATATAACCTTTAAACATCCTGAGTCTAATCTTTTCTTCTATTGCCTTCATCACTGACAATAAGGTTCCTGGTAGAGTTTCACAGCTGCTCGTGCTGGCCTACTAAACTCAGAACAGTCACTCCTCCCCCATACAAACAGTAGCTTTATCTTTCTGAATTAGCATTAAGGCCGCATCATTCTCCCACTCCCAGGAAAACCTCAGGGTTAGTGCTTCTATCCAGTTTGCCTGCGAGAATCGGCTCTACTCCTTTCAGCCCTCACTTGCTTTATTTTCCAATTAATCTTTTTTTTTTTCTTTTTTTGGTTTTTTGAGACAGGGTTTCTCTGTACTGTTTTGGAGGCTGCCCTGGAACTCGCTCTGTAGACCAGGCTGGCCTCGAACTCACAGAGATCCGCCTGCCTCTGCCTCCCGAGTGCTGGGATTAAAGGTGTGCGCCACCAACGCCCGGCCCAATTAATCTTTTATTTTTATTGTACCCATCAATATTTTATAGAAATAAGGAAACAAAGCACCAATATAAAATTGCATGTCTCCTGATGACTTTTAGAGCCAACGCTCACTTTTTATCACTGCTCGGCTTGCTACCTAGTTTGCTGCCTGGACCACATTCTTAGTTTGGCCTGGAGATTTTTCTCCCAGAGAATTAAATGTGGCTCCCTCCATTGCTTCGGTCAATCCCCACTTCCAAGGCCAGTTCTTCAGAGTGGACTGTCTTCTGGAAAAACTAATCTATAAAGGCTACAGTAGCACTCAGTTTTCCAAGTATCATTTGCTCATTGGTTGACACACCGTGTGCACGTGTACATCTGCTGTTTGTCTCTCTAAGCTGTACATCTGGCTTATTGTATCCCTAGTGTTTAAAGCAATGTGGGGGGCATGGAGGTGGCGCATTGGATACAGCGCTTGTGTTGCAAGCGTGAGGACAGGAGTTGAGATCCTCAGCACCCAAACAAAAGCCAGGTAGGTGTGGAGGCTGCCTGCAATTTCAACACTCAGTAGGTGGAGGCAGGGTGTTCCTGGGGCAAGACGGCTAGCTAGAGTATGTGCAGTTTGTCAAGTTCCTGTTTAATACGGGGCTATACTTCAGAAAGTAAGGTGGAGATGGATTGGGTAAGGCAGCAAATTCAACTTTGGACTTCTATATGTATGTGCACTTATGTCCACCCACATGAACATGCCCACCACACACACATGCAAAAAACCAAACAGTATCTGTCTCAAGACGGATGATCTTGATATTTCTATTAATCATATGTACTGACATTTCACTTAGTGATTATGTTATTGATTACTTAAGTTATTAATGATTAATAATGATTAGTAAGTTAACAATGACTTCTTACTTAGTGCTCTGCAGCTTTTCTTATTGTTGTCAAGTATGTCATAGGCCCATGCATATTATATAAGCTCTAAGCATATACAGGGCACAAATGTTATATTAACTTCCTAAAATTTAAGAGTCTAAGCCACAGCAAATTACCCAACTGCTTTTCCCCCCCAAAAATGTTGTTACATTTTTATAGTTACTCCTTATGTGAGAGATACTTCTCACCTGGAGCAACAATGTGCATTTTTGTATAAAGAATGACATTTATTGTTTTGTGTTGGTCTGAGACTGGGTTTTGACCTGTAATCCAGGCTGGTTAGGAACTCCTGTCCAGTTTCCTAAGTGCCAGGATTACAGGTCTGAACTACCATACCTGGTCAAGATCGCCATTTTAACCCATAAATGGTAACTGTTCATGTAAAATGATTCATTGCTGGGAGATATAATTTATGCGATTACTCAACCTGTTTCCTTTTTAAATAGCCTCTTCATATCCTTTGCTTATATTTATACTGATATACAACCATTCTTGGCAAAGAGCTCTCTGGAGAGTTACGATCCTTTGTCTAAGCCATTCTAAAATGTAATTTTTCCAGTTTGTTATTTGTCTTTTAATGTTTGTTACAGCTGTTTTCAATTTACCAAATATGAAATTTACAGTAAAATTAACTACAATACTTCCCAATTCCTTAAATGACTTTTAGGTTTGCTGTTGATTAGAAAGTCTTCCAATGGGGGCTGGAGAGATGGCTCAGAGGTTAAGAGCACTCAGAGGTTAAGAGCACTGACTGCTCTTCCAGAGGACCTGAGTTCAATTCCCAGCAACCACATGGTGGCTGAGGTCTGGAGTCCTCTTCTGGTGTGCAGAGAGACATGGAGGCAGGATGTTGTATTCATAAATAAATAAATAAATCTTTAAAAAAAAAGTCTTCCAATTTACCGCATAAACATATCCACATATTTTCTTCCAAGTTTTTTAAACAAGGAAGATTATAGTGCATTACTGATGTAATTTGTTTTTGTTTTCCGGAGACAGGATTTCTCTGTGGCTTTTGGAGCCTCTCCTGGAACTCGCTGTGTAGAACAGGCTGGCCTCGAACTCACAGAGAATCACCTGTCTCTGCCTTCTGAGTGCTGGGATTAAAGGCATGCCCCACCAGCACCCGGCTCTGATGTAATTGTAATAATGACTTATGGCTTTGTTTCCCCTCAGCTGGCTCCTGAGGTATAATTCATTCTCTCTCTCCTTTCAAGGATGTTCAGTTGTGAAGTGCAACGTTTCCGTATTAAAACTCACTTCCCTACTCCTTAAAACACACTATCAGTGACACGGAAACCTCTAGGGCTTGAGAGCCAAGTTCTTCCCTTCAGCAAGCTGAGAAAAGGAAATTTATGGCCATTTCCAGTAATGGTTTGGTATTAATACTCAAGACCGCATTTTTTTTTCTTTTTTGCCAACGCCCAACAGGCCCTACCTAATTCAAGAAGCGTCAAGTTGCTCAAAACGTTGCTTATCCCTTTAAAGGAAGGTTCACGGCTTCGGAGGGTTCTCTTCTGAACGCCCTCGGGTTCCAGCGTTCGGTTGGGACGAAGGCTCAGGAAGACGCCATGCAAACCGCAATCAGACCTACCGAGAGCCGCCCAGCCTCGAGACCCCAAGAAGCTAATAAAAACAGGTAGTGGGGGGAATCAGCAGAAGTCTTAGTGGTGTGTGTGTGTGTGTGTGTTCAATGACAACGCTGTGATCTTAGTACCCCAAGTTAATCGGATACACCAGAAAACAACAACAACAAAACTTGTTTACATTGCCTTGCGGCCTTGGAAGAGCTCCACACTCGATCCCTGCGTCGCGGAGGGCAGCAGGTGTTCACAGGTGTCTTTGACTTGTACTTTGCTACCGCCGGGTGGCCCACACAGCAGGCGACAAGGGGAGTCGGAGTGGCGCCCTTGCCCTCGCTCACGCGGGCTCCCCCCGGGCGGGCTGAGGCCCTCGGGTGCGGGCAGACGGCGAGTGGCAGGAGCCCGAGGCCACCCGGGGCTGCTGCACCGTGCGCCATATCCCCGAAAGCAGGGGACACACACAAGACTGCATCTCCCGTGCCGGGGCCCTGCAAGCATCCTCTCTCTCCCGGTCCCAGCCTCGGACGCCCTGCCGCGTCTCCCTAGCAACCAAGCGGGGTGGGGGGGGGGAGGGAAGAGGCGAGTGGAGGCGGAGTCAAGGGCTCCCTGGACTTCCGGGTTGCGGCCGCGGCTTCCGGTTGTCACTCTTCGGGACGCGCGGCGACTGCGGCTCGGGAGGACGCGGCGGGGGCCTGGGGGGGGCTCCGTGGCCCGGGCCCTACCGAGATGCATCCGCGGCGCCCCGACGGCTTCGACGGCCTGGGCTACCGGGGAGGCGTGCGGGACGACCCGGCTTTCGGCGTCCCCTTCCACGCGCGCCCCTTCGGCTCCGGGAGCGACCCGGGCCCCTGGGTGACGACGCCCCCGGACATCCCGGGCAGCCGCAACCTGCACTGGGGTGAAAAGAGCCCGGCCTACGGCGTGCCGTCCGCGCCCGCGACGCTCGAGGGCCCCGCCGCCGAGGAGCCCTTTCCCGCAGGCGGCGACGTCCCGCGCCCGGGCCCGAGCAGCGGTGAGGGGTGCGGGGCGCGGCCCGGCGGCCGGGCGGGAGGGCGGGCGGGGGTGGGGGTGCCCGGCGCCCTCGGGAGGCGCGCGCGCGCGGGGCCCGCCGCCTGGGTTCCTCGCGCGCGCAGCCGCGCCCTCTGCCCTCCTTTCGCCCTCTGCCCCGGAGCCGGCCCTTTGGGCACGCCGCGGGCCGTGCTCCGGGGGGTCACCCACGCTAGGCGACCTCTGGGTGGCCTAGGATGCCTGGGTAGGGGTGCCCGGGGAGGGCCAGGGACGTTGCTCCTGGCGTCCCGAAGCAGGAAGGAAATAAATTAGGGGATCTACTGTTGTCTGACTTCCCTCTGCCAGGTGGATTTTTGTTGTTGTTGATTTGGCTAATTGACTTCTATCTTTGTGTTTTGGGGCGAAGCTTTTTAGCCCCTTCCCCTCCCAGGAAGATTTTTTTTTTTTTTGAGTTGGGACCTGGCTCCACCAGTCATAAATTTAACCGTTTTTCTTCTTGATCCCCCTGTTAAGACTTGTCGAATGACATCCTTTTTACGAATGCTAAGTGAGATGAATAACAGTATGATATTGCAAATATGCACAGTAGGCTAATTATTTGTTTCCTTCGCTCACCCTTTCCACGCGTGAGTCCCGATTTTAGATCCCAGATCCATACCTCCCGGGCAGGTCTCCCTTCTCGTCCTCTTCTGACCTAAAACCTCCACTTAGATTTAGAAACTGTTATAACTTGACTTCGTAAGCTATCACTCTTTATGGAATGTCAGAGAGCTTCAGTTGCAACACCGCACGGACCACATACGTTTAAAATTACTTTAAACTACATTCTCTGGGAACAGCAAATTGTGTCATTAAATATTAAACATGCTATACGTGATCGTGATACTCATCCCTTAGTTTTTACTTGGAGTGCAGAAGTGTTTGCACTGGAAGATAACTAATTATTAGTACACTAGCAGGTGCAGGAGATCAGCGACTCATTCAGTGTCACACAATGAAGCTTTTGGCTGTTGTTCCCTGTGTTTTCATTGTGTTAGTGCTGGAAAACTCTTTTTGGATGAAGCTGTAAGCCAAACAGTTCAGAACACAGGTATAATGGCCGTAAAGTCACTGCCTTAGGCAGCAGAGTTTTTCATCGTTTCATAAATTACATCTTGATAGTTCCAAGGAGGGGCAGGTTGCTGAGACAACCAGTTTATTTTGAAGCTATTACCTAGTGGCTGAGTAAATCTGTGCAACAAGTCAGGCCTCACATAGTTAACAACATTAAGCCTTCCTAAAACCTTTCATAAATGTCCTATTTGGTATTTGAGAATGGTAAATGCACACCCACAAGAAAGTACTTCAATATGACAAGCTTTCTAGCTTGCACATGTTTCAAGGCAAAGCAGGTAGTTTTCTTCCCCCAGGAACATGCTTACATGGCCTATTCTCATCATAACGGATCATTGTTTCATTTGAAATGACAGAGGGAAGAGAGAGAATGGTCTCTTGTTAATATGTCTACTCCCCTGGCTGGGCCACTGTTAGGATTTTGGATTCCTTAATCAGGAGAAAGCTGTCTTGACATGCACATAGAATTTTCAGCTCTTAGCTCTCCAGCAGTGCCCTAGGAGGGAGCACATATGAACCTAGGGTCCCACCGCATAGACTGGATTAAACAACTATTGGTAAACTATTCACAACTTCAGATCATAGGGAGAAGCTGTACTTAACCTCTGTTGATAACACTAAGTACTCTCAGATTAACAATTTTACATACAACCGTTGTCCCTCAGTAATAGTAGATGGCTATCAGTTTCTTAGTGTGTCTAACAATTTTACATACAACCGTTGTCCCTCAGTAATAGTGGATGGCTATCAGTTTCTTAGTGTGTCTAACAATTTTACATACCACCGTTGTCCCTCAGTGATAGTGGATGGCTATCAGTTTCTTAGTGTGTCAGTCATGTCTATCCATAGAAAACTTTGGCATGACTGTAATCAGAAATTAAAACTGGCCATGCTTAGATCCCATCTGTATACAAACTTGACATAGTCCATACAGGGTTTTAGCACTTTGTAAGGTAGTTGTCTTTGATAACTATTTAAACTTTTGAAGAATTTTTTTTTCTTTTAAAACGGTTACAACTTAGAATGTCCCAGCTTACAAGTCCTGTGGCAACAGTCCATTGGAATGAAGGACAGAGTTGCTCCGTAAAGAGGTCCGTTTGGTGGAACTTGCCCCGAGCCCCACCAGAATCACTATTAAATTGACTTCCTACCCACATTAGACTTTGTGGTTTAAATGAACAGCGTGTTCCTCCAAAATCTTGGTTATCACAGTAAATATAAATATTGGTTATAAGTAATCTTATCCTTTTTATTTTAGAACAGTTGAATAGATTTGCTGGATTTGGTATTGGACTTGCAAGGTAATGTTTAAAGATTTTTTTTATTTAGAGTTTTTCCTTTAATTATAATATGAAGTGATTAAAATTTCTTCCTTTAGGTTTTATTAACAGATTATGTACTTTGTAGGATGTGATTATTTAGAATCCATAACTTGCTGGGCGGTGGTGGTACACACTTTTAATCCCAGAACTTGGGAGGCAATGGCAGATGGATCTCTGAGCTCCTAGTTAGCCTGTTCTACAGAGTGAGTTTCAGGCTAGCCTGCTCTACAGAGTGAGTTACAGAATAGCCAGGGCTACACATAGAAACCCTATCTCAACAAAACTAAAAAAACAAAAGAAAAACCCCAGAAGAATTCATAACTTTATTTTTCTCTAGTAGAGGTAGGAACTAGTCTTTCCATTGTATAAAGAAAGTAATTTTTGTTTTGTTTTGTTTTTTGTTTTTACGAGACAGGGTTTCTCTGTATTGTTTTGGAGGCTGTTGGTCCAGCCTGGCCTCGAACTCACAGAGATCTGCCTGCCTCTGCCTCCCGAGTGCTGGGATTAAAGGCGTGCACCACCACCGCTAGGCTTAAAGAAAGTAATTTTGTAATGACTATGGCAGTAACTTTCATGAGTCTTTCAGAATAGAATAGAATGTAATCTTCCTTCTCAAAAGTGATGAGATGAGCCGGGCGGTGGTGGCACACGCCTTTAATCCCAGCACTCGGGAGGCAGAGGCAGGCGGATCTCTGTGAGTTTGAGGCTGGGCTGGACCGATAGCCTCCAAAACAATACAGAGAAACCCTGTCTCGTAAAAACCAAAAAAAAAAAAAGTGATGAGATGAGCCTTCTCTCTAAACATTGCAGTGGTACCCAGGTAGTTTTGCAGCATAGAGACTGGATTTTTTTTGTTGTTGTTGTTATTGTTTGGTGGTCAACCTCCTGCTTATAATGGTCATTATGGCTAAGAACATTCATTATTCTTATTTATGGTATTATGAAGATTCATAAATATTGTGTATCGCTTATCTTTCATACCAGAATGGTCATCATCTTAAATAACCAGTAAGGTGACCTTATTTGCATATTAAAAACTGAGGTATATTAGTGTCAGCATACAGTCCAATTTTCATTTTGCTAATCTTTTTTTTAGCCTAATTCTTTATTCTTAAAGCTTAATACCATTTAATATAATATATGTATGTGTGTGGATGCATATGTCACTGTTGGTGCTTGCTTAATCCACAGATGTAAGTATTTTGGGGAACAGAAATACTTGATCTATAAAATAGTAATTAACTTTAAAAATCCTGTAACTTAAGTACCAAGTATGTCAAAATAAAGATTTCTACAATAAGGATCTTGAAAAGCAAATGACTTTTCATGTGAGAATTTTGTTCATAGGATATTTTCTGAAAGGAAAGTTAAATTATGTAGCCTTTTTCATGTCAAACATACAGAGATCTACTTTCACCTTGGTACTGTATAGATAGTAAATATATTACAAGTTGGTGCGTCTAGATTTTATTTTTATTGAATTTACAGATGAACAGATATTAAATTGCCTTAGTTGTGAAAAGACAACTTCAGGTTATAAATAAAATTTGTGTAAAGACGTATTTACACACACACATATAAATTATTTCTGTATAGTCTCTTTACAGAAAATGTACTGGCCCATCCTTGCATCGTTATACGCCGCCAATGTCAGGTAAGTGTAATTTCTTGGACTTTTGATACAAGCCTAATCCTAACTAGAAGCATAGAATTCTGATAAAATGACCTGAAATCTTATACCCATCACTCTATGTGAAATGCTCCAAAATCTATAATATTTCAGTTCTCCAACTTTTTAGTCTTAAAACCACTTAAAAAAATCTCAGAAGTTATTGGGACTCTGAAGATGTTTTGATTATTTGTGTCTGTCAGGATTCACCATTTCAGAAATTAGAACTGATGTAATATTGATCTAACTCATTAAAAAATAATGCATTCATCAGATATTAACAAGTAATCTTTGCAAAAATGTATGTTTTTCTCCAAAATGTCTGTCAGAATAGGAGTGAGCTTCTCATATCTGCTCTTCCAGTCAGTCTGCCTTGTAAGGAAACAAGAATAATCAGCCTCCTACACATGATACCCTTGAGAGTAGGAGTATAGGTATTCTTTTCTGACGATGTGCCTTTTGGTGTTACACTCAAACTCACTAAATGGTGGTGTCTCATGTGCCGTGTGAAATCTGAAGCAATCTTAACTAAAAAAAAATTCTGTTACATTAAAAAATTGAACTGAGCACATCTTTAACCCCAACACTTGGAGGCAGAGGCAGGTGGATCTCTGAGTTTGAAGCCACAGAGAGAATTCTAGGACAGCCAAGGCTGCTCCATGTGGGGGGGGGGGCCCAAAACAACTACAACAAAAATTCCTATTGATTTATAATGCATCCAAATGCATTATAATTTATATTACACATGATTTTCTATCACCGTGTATTTATTATCTGAGAGATGTTGAATTATGTCTCCAGATTCTGAAACATTGGTTATTACATACCAAAGTTCATCTTCATTGAAAAACCAGTTATCTCACAAGAAGTCTCTAATCAGTGTATATTCTTTTTTTTTTTTTTTTGGTTTTATGATGCAGGGTTTCTCTGTATTGTTTTGGAGGCTGTCGGTCTAGCCCGGCCTTTAACTCTCAGAGATCCGCCTGCCTCTGCCTCCCGAGTGCTGGGATTAAAGGCGTGTGCCACCACCGCCCAGCTAGTGTATATTCTTAATGAGATATATATTCCCCTAAATTCTTTTTTTATATTTTATTAAAATGTATTACACAAAATAATTATACAACATTGTGACTTTTTCATACATGTATATCATGTTTGGTTTTCCTTGCCCCTATTACCTCCCCTTGTCCTTCCAACTTTTACTGGCCACTTTGTTTATTATTTCTTTAATTTACAGAACATCCTGTATTCTACAAATGAGAAATGTATGTTGCTTGTCTGAGTCTGGCTTACTTTGCTTAGTCAGATCTCCAGTTCTGTCCAATGGATTTTTCTTCGTGGCTGCATAATTGTGTGTGTGTGTGTGTGTGTGTGTGTGTGTGTGTGTGTGTGTGTGTGTGTGTGTGTGTGTGTGCTGACTGCATCCCTCTGATATATCCCAGGGTAGCTCTGGTTTTAGTTTTCATGAAGGACCTTTGCAGAGATTCCCACAGTGGCTGTACTGAATGACAGTTCTTTTCCTCACATAGTCACCTGTATTCATTTTTCTTTTCTTGGTGATAGCAGTTCTAATAGGGTCGAGATGGAATCTCAGTATGATTTTGATTTACATTTCTCTGCTATATAATGGTTTTGGATCTTTTTGGCTAATAGTATTTCCTTTACCTACTTATTGCTTGGAGTGTTGGGGTTTTGGTGTCTCATCTTTTCAGCTCTTTATATATTCTGGATAGTCAGTTCCCTGTCAGATGGCTCACATTCAGTGTGCTCCATGTTTACTTTGCTGGCCATGAGCTTTTTAATTTACTCTTCCTGCTTGTCAATTCTTACTGTTCCTGAGTTATTAGAGTCCTTTTCTGAAAGCCTTTGCCTAACCCAGGGCTTTAAAGTGTAGTTCCTATGTGTTCCTTGACCAGAACAACATTTTAAATCTTACTAAGGTGTTTTTCCAATTTGTACTTGGAGGAAAGTTGAAAACAAATACTCTAAGGATCTTCTTTTTAAAAACAACAACAACACAACAAAAAACCACCACCACCACCACCACCAACAAAGCTCAAGGTCACTTTGTTCATTTACAAGTACACATTTGGTCTGCGGATGTAGTTGAGTGGGGAACATATAATTGGCCCTAGGTTTAAGTCTCAGTACTGCAAGAGAAGATGTGTGTCCTAAGTGCGAAAGTAATAGTTTGTGTGAAAGTAATAGTTTGTATGAAAGTAATAGTTTGTATGAAAGTAGTAGTTTGACAGGGTATTTAAAAAGAAGGTGGGGTGTTCTGTGACAGAAAGAAAAGTGGATATACAGCTTACAAATGCATCATTTAAGGATTTTCCTTCATGAGAGCTGTCTTCTTTATGTAATGCACAAAAATGTTAATTGTAAAGGTGGTATGTCCTTATAGATCAGGTTTCATATAATTACCCTTTGTACTGCTTCACCAAGGTTACTCTTAAATGAAGATTGCATTTCTGTGAGTATCTATAGTGAAGAATATCATAAAAAAATACAATTGATGCTACTACCTGGATTCATGGTAAAGAATCAGCAGTTTTATTCACCCTTGTTTTTATACTCATAGATTGTTTTTAATACTTGAAGAAGGCAAATGGTACCTGAGTAAAACTAAGAAAGTATTTTGAACTTTCTAGGCCTCTGGTATGCTAATGGAGCTCTCAACAGTTATTGGCCTGTATCGTGGCAGGTTCTATCATGCAACTTCAATTCTTTGCAAAATAGTTTTCCCATATAACATTAAGACAGTATAAACCAGTACAAATTAATCTATTTATACTTGTCACTGAAAAATAAGAATGCAAAGAGAAATAACTACCTGAATAGCAGTGGCAGTTATAGATGCCCCAAAACAGTGAAATTGATTTGTATATATTAAATTATGATAATAACTACTGATCCAGTATATATCATTTTGACATGTTTAGCTCATTTATGATTTGTTCATTTTTTATGTAAGCTATCGTTTAAAAAAAATGCTTGGCCAAAATTAGTATGAGATTTAATTCCAGAGCTTAAAAACCTGGCTTGTCAACCAGCGAGATTCTCTGTAGTCTTCATTACTAGGTGATTTGTGTACTACACTGCATATTGTATCTATATCACCATGTGCATAACACAAGTGGTTGACTTGAAGTGCTCATTATTTGACCTCAGTACTTAACTGTTGCTTATCCTGAGCTTTAGGTTTTCATGGTCTCATTATCTCCTGAGAAGACAGAAAAGGTACTCTGTGTTTTACAGGTTAATTACCATGGTCGGCACTACCATCTCACTCCGTTTACAGTTATCAACATCATGTACAGCTTCAACAAAACCCAGGTGAGAATCTATTCTGTCAAAGCTGTAGATCTAAACTTGCTAAGCATTAAGTAAGAATTCTCCTTTGAACCAGGTAGTGGTGGCACATGTCTGTAATCCAGCACTCGTGGGGCAGAGGTAGGTGGGTCTCCGAGTTCGAGGCTAGTTTGGTGTGCAGAGTGAGTTCTAGGACAGCCGGGGCTACTCAGAGAAACCTTGACTTGGAAAAAAGAATTCTCCTTTGACTCTTGCAGAATTTCACTTAATTCAATGGAATTGCAAAGAACTATGCTAAGTTCTAATGTCTGTACAGTCGGGAGAGTTACAGTGTAGTCACAGAGACAGAAATGTCAGTAGAAGATTGTGGTACAGTATGAGAAAGATAAAGTACTGATTATTATGTAGATGAGAGATGCCATCAAAACTGATATCCTCATTGGTTTTCTCATCGCTGTAACAAAATGCCCAACACCAGCATCTAAGGAAGGAGGGGTTTGTTTGTTCAAAATTTAAAACAATGCCATCTGTCAGGACGGTGATGACATGGGGCCTGGGCTCAAGGCAGCTGACCACGTTGAATCTGTAGTCGGGAAGCAGAGAAACATAAATGCCGGTACCTAGTTTTTTGGCCTTTCTTTATCTTGATGACAAGGAAATGATGCTGTCAACCTCTAGGGTGGGTCTTCCTCCTCAGTTAAGCATTTCTACTTTGTTTACAGTGAAGATTGACTACACAACTGGGATGGATCCCAGGGTGACCTGGGAAAGCTGTTGAGAAAGACACTGTCTCGCATCCTTGTATGTTGTCAGAAAGTCTGCTTCTTAATTCAGGGCAAAGGTTTCATGTGTTGATGTTCAAAGGCAAAAGGCAAAGGGAGGTTATAGTTTTGGGGACTAGGTATTATGGTGTAGTAAATAGCACCTTGTAGCAAAGTTGAAGACAGAGCCAGAGAAGTAAGCAGCAGCATACGGGGCCTTCTATGGCCTGCACACTGTGTCTGGGAAGCTGCAGAGAACCATTGCAGATGAGTTAGAGGGACAAGAGCGTCGACTGCATCTCATTTAAAATTCGTGCATTTGACATCTAAGAACTTTTCTATAGAAATGTTATGTATATATCTAAAATGTGTATCAAGGATATCTATCATATTGTGGTGTTACACATAATAACGAGTCAAATTATAATATTTAGCAAGAGGATACCACTAAAACAATGGTGATACATTTATGTGGTAAGATACCAGGTGGCCTTTACAAATAAGAAGCTACCTCTGTGTGTACTGATAGGGAATGATCTCTGGGTGTTTCTTATGGCTCAAGATACATCTGTTAAAAATGAACAAACCAACCAGGTGGTGGTGGCGCACACCTTTAATCCCAGAACTGGGGAGGCAGAGGCAGGCAGATCTCTGTGAATTTGAGGCCAATGTGGTCTATAGAGTGAGTTCCAGGATAGCCAGGGCTACACACAGAAAAACCCTGTTTTGATATACAAACAAGCAAGCAAACAAACAAACAACCCCCCAAACAAAACAAAAAACCAAAAAAAAACCTAAACAAAAAATGACCATCTTTGCATGCACTCGCGTAGATTATTCTATTATATGCCGAGCTGTCTCTGGAGAATGGAAGAGAAAAGTTTCTGTTAAGGGACTAGGATGAAAAAGAAACACATTTTCTCCTCTTACTATATTGCTGCTTCTAATTTTACAGTATTGATAGTCTATTTTCTCATTCACAATAACAAATAAATAATAGTGATAACACTACTACTGTTATTGTAGCAGAAACAGTGAACTCCCCAGTGTTAGATGCACATAAGCAATAACTAAGGATGGACGAAGAACATAGACGTATAGAGACTGAAGTAACTTAAAGAACTCTGGTTGATTAGATGGGAAGAGTGACAAATACGTGATTTGGACACAGGTATCATGAAGGAGCTAGTAAGGGAAATAGCAACAAGGAGAAGAAACAGTGCTAATGGTGTGATTGATGGAGCTGGGGGATATAACATTGAGATACCTATAGGTCATAGGGACAGCTAAGTAACAGGGAGGGGAATATGGAGATGTTTTTATTTAAATTAGAAACATGCATGCTTCACATGTCAATCCCAGCTCCCTCTCCCACACCTCCTCCTTTGTCCCTCCACTAAACCCTCCCAGCCCCCAACCCAATCCCCACATCATTCCCCAGAGAGGGTGAGGCCCTCCATGGAGGGTCTCCAGAGTCTGTCATTTCATCCAGGGCAGGGCTTAGGCCCTCCCCCATGTGTCCAGGCTGAGAGAGCATCCCTCCATGTGGAATGGGCTCCCAAAGTTCATTTGTACGCCATGGGGAACACTGATCTACTACCCAAGGCCCCAGAGATTTCTGAGGCCTCCTCACTGACGCTACATTCATGTAGTCTGGAGCAGTCCCCTGTTGGCCTCTCAACCATCAGTCTGGGGTTCAAGAGCTCCCCCTTATCCAGTCAGCTGTCTTTGTGATACCAGAGGTTTTTAATAAATCATTTTGGAGTACTTAACTAAGTGGAGTACTCATCTTGGCTTAAGCTAGGATGCCATGAAACATTAACAATTGAGGCTACTGTAGTGGCTCAGGCCTATGATCCTGGGACTTGGGAGGTTGGGGCAGGAGGCTGAAGAGTTCAAGCTTCAGCTACTACGGAAGCATTTGAGGCCAGCCTGGGTTATGTGAGAGTGTGCCTCCGTGGGAAAGAACAAACTGGTAGAGATCCACCACTATTAGATTTAGTTACGTTCTGAAGATTTATATTGGAGTAATACCTTATTAGGAAATATCAGCAAACCTGCAATGTTAAGTTTCACTAGGAAGTTTTATGTTTTGTTCTTAGGCATTAACAGAGCTATTTTTGTTGTTTTTGTTTTGATTTTAGGGACCACGAGCCCTGTGGAAAGGAATGGGAAGCACATTTATTGTCCAGGGAGTGACGCTCGGAGCAGAAGGCATAATTAGTGAATTTACACCTTTACCGAGGTACTTGTGTAGCCGCCGTATTAGTCTTGTGTTAAATTTTACCAAGTATGGAAGCCAGTGTCTTGAATCTGAAAACTTGTCTGAACTAGCGCAGGAAGGGGACAGTAAAGCTCCTCTATTAGTCACGCCTTGCTGAGTGAGCGTGTGGTAGGGACTCCATGTCTGTGTCTGTTGAAATGGGCCTTTCATTCCTCCTGCCGTGGACCAGCAAACCTCCAGCTAAGTGACAAGCAGGGGTATGGGAACAATTTGATTAGCGTGCATTGTGTGGATTAAACAAACCCCTTTCAGATGACCTGAAAGTTATTGGCACAAACTGAAAAAAATAACTGAAAATTGAGGTAGAGTCTGAAATATGAGTAAGAATTGACTGGGCAGACTGGGCAGTGGTGGTATATACCTTTAATCCCAGTACTCGGGAAGCAGAGGTATGCGGATCTTTGTGAGTTCGAGGCCAGCCTGGTCTACAGAGTGAGTTCCAGGACAGCCTCCAGAACAATATAGAGAAACCCTGTCTTAAAAAACCAAAACCAAAACAAAACAAAACAAAATAAAACAAACAAAAAACGTCCAAAAAGAACTGACTGGAGGAAAGGAGAGCCTTCCAAGCAAAGGCAACAGAATACTCAGTTGGTCTCACGAAACTTAGTCCCGGTGACAAAGAGAAGTGGCTTGGGCGTGGGAGTGAAAAGAACCCATGGCTCTGTGTCTTTTTACAAATGTTTTTACTTATCCTTTGATCATTTTGTGTGTATAGACAAGTGTCTAGGTCATATCCAACTCAAATCCTCTCCCTCCTCCATGGTTGTCTCTTTACAAGGGGTTATTCTCCGTGGGCCTGAAATCAAACATTTTATCTGTTTCTTGATGTGTTTTGATCAAGGGTTTTCCCTAGAGGTAGCGTGAAAGTGTTGCTTCAGACTGGCTTGTGAGGTCCCATGTTAACTTAACCACACAGGGACTACTGTGAGTTATGGAACAGACCAGAAAGCACTGAGTTAGGAAGACACGCTCCGTGAGATGGACGGCAGCTGCCGTCAGGCAGAAGTGGCAGGAGTATCAGGAAGTGAGTTTCAGCCGTGGCTGAGAGTTTGTTTATTTATTTTTTAATGAGAATGTTAACCAAGGTGGAGAATTCAGTAAGAATGAGTTACAAAGGAGGTGGAGAATTCAGTAAGAATGAGTTACAAAGGAGATACGGAATTTTAACTTTCAATAAATGGAGTTTGAGGTTTTTGTCAGACCTGTAAGGGTTGTTTTAGTTACTTTTATATGAAGAGACAACATGACCAAGGCAACTTATAAAAGAAAGCATTTAGTTTGGGGCTCAGCTCTAGAGTAGCATCACGGCAAGCACATTGCCAGAGTCAGGCAGGCATGGCCCTGTAGCTGTAGCTGAGAGCTTACCTCTAATGTACAGGTTTGCAGTACAGAGGGAGGGAGAGGGAGAGGGAGAGGGAGAGCAACACCAAACTAATGGAAATGTTAAGGGCCTTTGAAGCCTCAAAACCCACATCCAGTGATGGTCACACCTCCTTCCAAAAGGCCACACCTCCTAATCCTCAGCCACATCCAGTGATGGTCACACCTCCTTCCAAAAGGCCACACCTCCTAATCCTCAGCCACATCCAGTGATGGTCACACCTCCTTCCAAAAGGCCACACCTCCTAATCCTCAGCTACATCCAGTGATGGTCACACCTCCTTCCAAAAGGCCACACCTCCTAATCCTCAGCTCCATCCAGTGATGGTCACACCTCCTTCCAAAAGGCCACACCTCCTAATCCTCAGCTACACCCAGTGATGGTCATACCTCCTTCCAAAAGGCCACACCTCCTAATCCTCAGCTACACCCAGTGATGGTCACACCTCCTTCCAAAAGGCCACACCTCCTAATCCTCAGCTACACCCAGTGATGGTCACACCTCCTTCCAAAAGGCCACACCTCCTAATCCTCAGCTCCATCCAGTGATGGTCACACCTCCTTTCAAAAGGCCACACCTCCTAATCCTCAGCTACATCCAGTGATGGTCACACCTCCTTCCAAAAGGCCACACCTCCTAATCCTCAGCTACATCAACCTATGGGGACCATTCTCATTCTAACAACCACAGGGGACATGAGTAAAAGATGGTTGGAACTGTGGATCAGGATGCTACAGGAATTATTTAAGTATAGACATAGCTTTGAGTATTGTGGCATATATAAAACTCAGTGGAGAATTGTAGACCCTGAGTTATGAGAGGTGACAAGGGAAGAGTCCTGGACAATTTGTCTGTCTACAAAGCTGTCCCATATGTGGTTTTATGGGGGTGGTGAGAGCAGCTGTGGAGGGGTACAGTTTGTGATACCCTCAAAACAAAGTTAGTGTAAGATTCATGACACTTTCAAGAAGCCAAGGTTGTAAACTTCAATTACAGATCTATTGGGAGAGAGGAGGTAGATAAAGTTCGGGAAATCTGCTGTTTCTTTTCTGTGGGTCAGATTCAGCCATTAGTTGTTGCAGGAAAGGTAGCACTGGACTTTTAGAAAGCTCTGAGAGACGAATTTGTTGGGCACTCTTTCTTTTTCTTTTTTCTTTCTTTCTTTCTTTCTTTTTTTTTTTTTTTGGTTTTTCGACACAGGGTTTCTCTGTATTGGTTTGGAGCCTGTCCTGGAACTCGCTCTGTAGATCAGGCTGGCCTCAAATTCACAGAGATCCGCCTGCCTCTGCCTCCTGAGTGCTGGGATTAAAGGTGTGTGCCACCAACACCTGGCCAATTTTCTGTTTTAAATACTGTATTCTGCATGAACTCATGGATAGTGTTAAAATCTTTGAATAGTTCTTATTTATTTCTAATGTTAGGCCTTAGGTTACATTATTTTGCATTGTTAAGAAAGGGAGTCAGTTAAAGGTCTAACCACTAGTATTGCACATGCACTTGATGTTGGGATATGTTTGTAAGGGAAGGAAATGAAGTCAGGAAGCTAACAGCAAACTTTTTCCAATGCATTTGCTTTCAGGGAACTGTGTATTCTCAGAGCTCCTTTAGTACAGTTCTGTTAAAGGCTAGGGACACCTGGCCAGCTAAAAGTTTCTTGACTCATACTTTAAAAATTGAGTTTCTTTGCTTGGCTAATTATATCTGTTACTGCTTTTAATGTCGCAGAGTACATTTGAAAGTACATATGATATGCCAGATCTCGTGCTTTTGAGGGTTCCCCCAAACACAGAGTCCTATGAAAAATTAACAAAGTGCAGGACATTCAGTTTAGTAGTCTGGTAAGAATTCAGTACCTGCAGTGATAACATTTATGGTTTGATTTTTGAAGTTTCAGAGTTGTAGGCAAACAACTGAACATGTATTAAGTTGGTTGTGAGGAGAGAGATGAAGAGGGGAAATTGGAATGGACAGCCCAAGCCACATGCAGTTATCAAAGCAATGGCCCAGTTCTCAGAGAGAAATGAGCTATCTATGTGGAACACATCTGGTCCTGAGCATTTCTGATAAAGAACACTCCCCTGTGCTTTGTTAGTAAACAGGGTATACAGGCTGGTCTCAGCTAACTTTCTCTTTTTCATTCAGTCCGGGATTCTAGCCCGTGAATCCACCCAGGCGTGAAACTTGCTCACAGACACGCCTGGAGGTTTGTCTCCTGGGTCTTCTCGCCTGTCACACAGTAGTAGCCGTCATGCAATCAGTCACAGCTTTTCCCTGCAGCCCCCTCTGCAGCAGACACACAATTGCTTTGTTTCTCCTTTTAAACCACGCCAGGTGTCAGAATTATGTCCAGAAGGAAATTCCTTTCTACAGATTAAAACAAAAACAGAAATCTATTACTGTTTAGAAAAATTAACTCAAAATATTTAAAATAACAGTTTTTGTTTATTTACATTTAATTTTAAATTTTAGGGAAGTTTCACATAAATGGAATCCTAAACTAATAGGTGAACACCTTCTCCTGAAATGGTAAGTTTTACAATGACATTGTTACCAGAACGTTCTATTAACTCTTTTAGTGTCAGAACTGAAAAACACGTAAGCATAGCATGGTCAAAGAAGCTAGAGTCATGGGAATGGACTGTCACAGAACAAGTGACAAGGCTTAGGGCTAAGATCCTGAAACACATACACTGTTTAAGTGATTCTTAGGTACTTGAAAGGTGAAAGTTGTGGTTCAACTTTCTTCTCTTAAATTACTTTTTCGTTTGTTCATTTTTGGGGGTGGGATGGGGTGGGTAGTGTGTGTTTGTGTGTTTGGGTGCACATGTGTGAACATGGAGGCCAGAGTCCCCTCAGATGCCATCAACCTGGTTTTTGTTTTTAAGGTAGATTTTTTTGAGATTATAATTTAATAATTATATCATCCCCCCTTTCCTTTTTCTCCAAGTCTTCCCATGTAACCCTCACCTTGTTCTCATTCAAATTCATGTCCTTTTTTCTTTAGTTGTTGTTACTTGCTGTGTGTGTGTATTTCTAAATGCACAAATACAACCTTCTGGATCCACATAATGTTACTGTATGTATATGTTTTTAGGGATGATCACTTGGTATTGGATGATCAGTTGGAGTGCAGTCCAGGGTTACAGATTTATGCTGGGCAGCAAGGAAGCCTCAAGGATATATATACCTGTTTCTCTGTCTACCGAGCTCTGATATTACAAGTGCTTGCCGCTGCTTCCAACTTCATACATAGATGCATGGGGTCAAACTTGGGTCCTCATGCTTGCATGATAAGCACTTTACCAGCTGAGATCTCCCCAGTCCCTTGACCAAGATTAAAAATGGATAGATAGATAAATAGATATTACTATTCTGTCTCGATATCCCTAAGCCAAACATCTGAAATACAAAATGCATCAAACTGAAGAATTTGAACACTAACACATGCCAATTGTTTTAAATATTTCTAACCTGATCCTATTTAATTAGGGATGGGGCGTCTGAATGTAGCAACACAGAAAATACTATGTAAAAACACTGTCAAGCTTTGCGGGTAAATGAGTATAACACATAAATAACTTTGTATCTAGACTTGGGTCCCATCCTTAAGATATCTAGTAGTTAGTTGTAAAAAGAAGCTTTTTCTGCTGAATAGTACTCCATTGTGTAGATGTACCACATTTTCTCTATCCACTCTTCGGGTGAGGGACATCTAGGTTGCTTCCAAGTTCTGGCTATTACAAATAAAGCTGCTATGAACATAGTGGAACATGGAATCATGAGATTCGCAGGCAAATGGATGACACTAGAAGAAACCATCCTGAGTGAGGTAACCCAGTCACAAAAAGAGAAACATGGCATGTACTCTCTCATATACGGATTTTAGACATAGATCTGGGGAGTGCCAGCCTACAATCCTATGGCCAGAGAGTCTGGGAAACAGAAACTACATTTAGTGGCTGGTTAAGTACTGAGCTGAACTCAAGAAAGCCAGTATCAGAGAGGGAGGACTGATGATCAAAGGGATTAAGACTGGGCTGGTTTAACCCCCCAGAAACAGCTGACCAGACAAAGGTTAACTCTAGAATCCCAGGCATCAGCCTGGAATCCAGCATGGGACTGATCAAGACCCCCTGAATCTGGGTGTCAGTGAGGAGGCCTAGGTAATCTATTGAGCCTTGGGCAGCAGATCAGTACCCATACCAAGTATACACACAGATTTTGGACTCCCATAGAACAATGTGAGGTGCACTCTCACCCTGAACTCTTGGGAAAGGGTCTAGGCCCTGCCCTATATGAAATGACAGACTATGGACACCCCCATGGAGGGCCTCACCCTCCCTGGGGGAATGAGGGGATAACGGGGGGGGATGCGGGGAGGGCACGGGAGGAGGGGAGGGAAAGGGAGAGGGACCTCGTACTGACTTGTGAAGCAACCTTGTTTCTTATCTAAATTTAAAATGGAAAATAAAAAATATTAATAAAAAAAAAAAAAAAAAAAAAAAGAAGCTTTTTCCTTGAGAGAAGCCTTCCCGCCAGCCTGGTTCTAGAGCCGCATCAGTCCCAAATAAACACACAGGAGGCTATATTAATTATGAAGCTGTTGGCCTTGCTTGTTTCTTACTGGCTAACTCTGACTTAAGTAATTACCCCATAATTGTTAATCTAAGTATTTCTCTTACCAGAGAATAGTCCCGGGCTTCCTACCCCATGGCGTTACATCTTGACTCTCTGTGTTTCTCCTTCCCAGAGTTCTCCTGGATTCCTAGTCCCACCTATCTAGATTCCTATTGGCCAGCAGTGCTTTATTGACAAATGCACAGGACTTCCCCCCCAACAGTTAGTTATATACAAATGTTCCCAAATCTGAAATAAATCTGGTCTAAGCCTTTCTGATAGAAGGGACACTAAACCTTTGTCTTATTATTAGTCAGATATGTGGATGTATAGAGTTGGTGAAGAGCTAGTTCAAATTGATAGTCACATTACAGTGTAGTCTAAAGGTGATTTTACATCAGCGACTGTTTTTTTTTTAAGGTTTATTTATTGTGTATATAGTGTTCTGCCTGCATGTATGACTGCAGGCCAGAAGAGGGCACCAGATCTCATTACAGATGGTTGTGAGCCACTATGTGGTTGCTGGGAATTGAACTCAGGACCTCTGGAAGAACAGTCAGTGCTCTTAACCTCTGAGCCATATCTCCAGCCCATCAGCGACTATTTTTACAGATTAGAAGTTTGTTTGTTTGTTTATTTAGTTGTAAAGATTGTGAATTGGAATTCCTCTAGCTTGCTGGCTGTCTTTATGGGAGTCTAGTACACAGTTACTTACTGATGTCCCATTACTTTGGAGATCCGTACTGATGAGGACCTGGCTCCCAAGGATGCTGATTAGGTTGGTCCTACCCTTGAAATGATTTTAAGTGAATATACTTTGCAGGCTTGCAAAGTTGTAATGTTATTATATTGATGAGGAAACAACTTTGGAAAGCTGGAAAATACTATTTTCTCATAATAAAATGAAACTTTGCTCACAGTTGAAAGCTGAATTAGTTTTGCTGACGGGGAATGTAGACGCAGAACAAGATAATAGGATAATAGCAAAAATCATTCTTGTTCAGATATTATTAAAACACCGGACTATGGAATGGTTGTTTGTTCAAAAGGTTCAGAAACAGATTTCAGGTGGCACTAGTTATGTGCAGGTAGGTGTTGAAACAGTTAGTCATACAGGAGCCTGCAGTCTGCTAAAGGTATAATCTAGTTTTTGTTTTACTTTTAAATTTCTGCCTCTGTTCAATAAAGTACTCTGTGTTTCAGCGTTCTGAGTTAATATCCAAAGTATGGCTGAAAAATTAAAAAAAATCATTTTAGGTCTGAATGTAAATTAGGTGAATACGTTAAAGCAGATCATAAAATTTCAATATAATTGTCTTATTTTGCTGTACTGATAGTGTTTGTTTTATCTCTGCAGCCTAACATATGTGGTGGCCATGCCCTTTTACTCAGCAAGTCTAATCGAAACAGTACAGGTGAGCTGCTCTTTCCTTGTAACTTTTTTGTTAAGAACCTTTAGGATATTCAGTATACTATGTATGTCTGGTTTTAAATGTTTGCTTCACAGATACACATATTTACCATATATTACCCTTGGTGTAATGTTCTCATTGCAAATGTGGGTCCCACTTGCAGTTTTAATTATTTTTCTCCTTTCCATCCATACACAACTCTACTCTTCACTCAGGTGTTCTAGAGCCCAAACTATGACTTGTTTTGAGTATTTAATTCTCTTTCAAGGCGAAAGAACAATTTAAAATGCTTATGGCTTATCATAGCAAGTGCATTAATAGTTGTGTGAGCATAAGAAGTAACCATCTTACCAGTCGGTAGGCGGCACCCACATGTAATATACTAACAGCGTCATTTTTAAACGCCCTCTGAAGAAACATTGTCGGCACACTGAGTACAAAGCTTAAGCAGGTTCCTGTTAGGATTCAAATTCTGCTCGCATGTTTTACTGTTTCTAACCACACGGTGGCACTTGAAGCACATGGAATATTTTCTCATTTTCCTTTCACTTTTGGTGTTTTCCTGTAACTGCAAGTTTAGTTCCTTTATTAAAGGTCATTTCAACACTGAAAAAAAGAAAGCGCTTACACAGCTTGTCTTCTGTTGTCAGTGTCCAGACTCTCCCCGCCTGTGCAAGCGCTTGCTCTGTAAATTGCTTATTGGGCCAGCCTTGCCTTTCTGGTTTTGTTTTGTTTTCTCTTAATTTGCTGTCCTCACTGTCATTAATCTCTGACTTTGCTGTTGCTGTTAGAACTAATATCTTATGACCCAAACATATTTGCCTGTCCTCTTGCATATGGGTGGTGTGTGTAGTTTACAGAGACTGTGACTTTAGGCAGGTTTTTTTTTTTTATCATTTTAAATTGTAATTTTATCTTCCATAGAATAACTCAATTTCTGTACTTAAGTAAGTATCCAGATTGTATTAATAGATTTGTCTTTGTGTCCTTTTTGCTTGTCTCTGTCTACAGGAAACACATCTTAGCTTTAAAGATAAGCACCACTTTAGAATAAATGGTGGACAAAAATACTCCAGTCAAATGGGCCCAGGAAACATGCAAGTGTTGCTGTTCTAACATCTAACAAAGTAGACTTCAAATTAAAACTAATATGAAGAGATGAAGTGGGAAACTTCATTCTAATCTAGGAAACAGTTACCTATCCTAAACATATATGCACCAAACTCTGGGGAACCCAATTGCATAAAAAATATACAATTGTTTTTAAAAACAGATTGATATCAATACATTTATTAATGTATTTCAATACCCCTCTTTCTCCAAGACAGGTCATCTGGATAAAAAACTAACAGTGAAATATCACAGTCAGTTGACATCATACATCAAATGGCTTAACTGATCTGTAGAATATTCCACCCAAACTCCAAACAATATACATCCTATGAAACAGCACAGGGAAGTGTTTCTAAAACAGACCACATCCTGGGACACACAAAACAAATCTGTAAAAATTTACAAAGACTTGCCAGGCAGTGGTGGCACACGCCTTTAATCCCAGCACTTGGGAGGCAGAGGCAGGTGGATCTCTGTGAGTTTGAGGCCACCCTGGTTTACAAAGCTACACAGAGAAACCCTGTCTCAAAAAAACAAAAAAATAACAACAACAAAAATTTAAAAAGACTGAATCTCTCCTTATATCCAATCTTCCCACAATGCAGTAAAACTTAAAAATTGACATCAAATAAATTTCATGGAGATTAAACAACTCATTAGTGAATGATGAATGGGTCAAAGACAAAATCAAGAAAGAAATAAAAAATTTCCAGGAACGTGTTCTATTCAGTCAGTCTGTCTTTCGATTGGAGAATTGAGGCCATGATACTTAAAGTTAGTCTTTACATGGATGTGTTAATTGTGGTTGCTGTGTTGCTGATTTTTGGTGGTGTTTATGTTCTCAGCATTATGTATTTTAATAATTATGGCTTCCTATTTCTTTCTGTAATCTCTCTGTTATGCTCATTTTCCTCTTCAGCCTGAAATATTATGTCTTGGTTACTGTCTGTTGCTGTGAGGTGACACTATGGCCAAGGCAGCTCACAGAAGACAGCATTTAATTAGGGCTGGCTTACAGTTTAGAGGACTAGTCTATGATCAGCCTGGCAGGAGGCAGACCGGTGTGTTGTTGGAGGAGTAGCTGAGAGCTTTGCATTCTGATTTGTAGGCAGCAAGCAGAGAGGGAGAGGGAGAGGAAAAGGGAGAGGGAAGAGAGAGAGACTCTGGGCCTGGCATGGACCTTTGAAACCTAGTGACACACCTATTCCAACAAGGCAAGGCCACACATCCCAATCTTCACCAAAGGTTCTGCCAACTGGGACCAAGCATTCAGACATAAGAGCTTGTGGGAGCCACGCTATTCAAACCAGCACTTATCACTTCCTGTGTGTGTGTGTGTATGTGTGTGGTTTTTTTTTTTTTAAGGTTTGGCTTGTTGGATATAAATTTTTAGGATATTTTTATTGTGAAAGTTTTTCTTTTGTCAATTATGGCTGATAGTTTTGCTGGGTATGCTAATGTAGGTTAGCCATTGTAGTCTTTTAAGACTGGGAATGCATTGCTCCAGAGTTTTCTGGCTTTTAAAGAGTTTACACTGAGCTGTTATTGTGATGGGTTTTCCTTTATATGTGATTTGCTTTTTTCTCTTGCAGCTTTCAATACACTTTCTTTGTTTCTTCTCTTTAACTGATTTTCTTTTCTCCTCCTGTCTGATTGGAATTCTGTGTGCTTCTTGTATGTGTATGTGAGTGTCCTTAGTCTAGGGAAGTTTTCTTCTGTAATTTTGTTGACTTGGGACTCCCTTTTCTTCTGTGCCTATAATTTGTTGGTTTGTTGCGTTTCACAGCGTTACACATTTCTGGTGTGATCATTCCCTGTATTTAAAAATAATTTTCATATTGTTTTCTTATTTGGTCTAGATCCCATACTTTATCTTCAAGTCCTGATAGTCTATGTTCTGTTTGAGTCATTCTATTTGTAAGGCTTTCCTGAGTTTTCTAGCTGGGAAATTGGTTTTTCATTCCATCTTCTTCTCAGCTTGAGTTCTCTTCAGGGTTTCTATCTCCTTTTTGATTTTGTCATTAAGTCCTGGATCGTCCTCATCACATCTGTCAGCCTCATGTTTGGGTTTCTTGGGCATCACTTGGACGGTTTATTCTCTCTAAGCTTTCTCCTTAATTTCACTGAGGTGTTTCTTTGTGTCTTCTTTAAACTTCGAAATCTTGGATGAATGTGGTGATTGTTCTTTTAAATTTTGTATCCTTGGGTTTATCTAGTTAATTCACATTGTCAAACATTTCTACAGAACAGGTGTGCTTTGGAAAGAAGATACTGTGTCTCTCTTTCATAGTACTGGGATTGTTTTGCAATGAGATCTGATCATGTGGACTTCTTTTGTTAGTTGTAAGTCTGCTATGGGCAGAATGGGTTGAGGTAAAAGAAATTGTGTGGGGCAGGTTTGGACTGGAGGCTGGAAATGGCTTGGGTGGAGTGGAGTCAGGTGGACAGAGGGGACTGGGCTGATGTGCAGGATGAGCTTCCTGGTCCAAGCCTGGAGCTTGGCGCTTGGAAAGGCTGGATATGGCGCCGAAGGATCCTGTGAGTGGGAGGTTGATAGGTGAAGAGGGTCCTGGCCAAAGCCCAGAGATCTTTAGTGGTGCAGGCGGGCAGGCCAGAGGAGGCTAGGACACTGGGTGGGGGACCCAGGCCACATCTGGCCAGCTGGGGAGAGGGTGTGGATGGGAGGTCAGGGAGACTCCAGGGGCTCGACTCTGGAGAAGATGTGCAAAGTCTGGCTGGGTGGGGAAGGTTGGGCATGGCACAGAGGGGCCCGTAGGTGTTTGCAGGTAGGGTGGGTACTGGTGGAAGCCAGAGACTGGTTGCATTTCAGTCAGGGGTGGTCAGCGTAGGCCAGGGCACTGGTTTTAGGAAACCAGGCTAAATCTGGCAGCTTGTGGAGAAGGCTCAGTGGGTACGTGAGGGAAGCTCTCTGGGTTAGACACTGGAAAAGGAAGCGGGAAGCGGCTGGGTTGAGTGGTTTGATGAGGAGCAGAAGGACCTTGTAGGTGACTGCAGGTAGATGTCCCACTCACATTACTGTCTCTTTCTGATATTTCCTTTGAGAAATGAATCTAACGCTAATCTAATCTCATAGCTGAAGTCGGCATTCCTACATTTGTCAATACATTTCTCAAAGGGACTTAATAACAGAACTTTCCGTGGCAGTTGTAAAAAAATGTTAAGTTGATGGCCCAGAGAGAGAGCTCGGAAGTAAAGAGCACGGACTGCTTGCTCTTCGGGGTTCAGTTCTCAGCACTCCCGTTCCGGGGGGTCTGACGGCCTCTTTTGGATTCCGCAGGTACTGCACGCATACACACATGCAACAAAAACGTCTCTCTTTTTTAGTAAAATGAGCCCGTTTCATCACTTTTGTTTCAGAGTGAGATAATCCGAGATAACACGGGCATCCTGGAGTGCATTAAAGAGGGGATTGGCCGGGCGATAGGCCTGGGCGTGCCTCACAGCAAGCGCCTTCTCCCGCTGTTGTCACTCATCTTCCCGACTGTGCTGCATGGAGCTCTTCACTACATCATCAGCTCCATCATTCAGAAGATTGTCCTGCTCCTTCTGAAGAGAAAGACCTGTGACGGCCACCTGGCTGAGAGTACCAGCCCCATGCAGAGCATGTTGGATGCTTACTTCCCAGAGCTTATTGCTAACTTTGCTGCCAGCCTTTGCTCTGACGTCATTCTTTACCCCTTGGAAACCGTTCTGCACCGCCTTCATGTTCAGGGGACACGCACAATAATCGACAACACAGACCTGGGCTATGAAGTGCTTCCAATTAATACTCAGTATGAGGGGATGAGAGACTGCATAAACACCATTAAGCAGGAGGAAGGAGTGCTTGGCTTTTATAAAGGGTTTGGTGCTGTTATAATACAGTATACACTGCATGCAGCCATCTTACAGATTACCAAAGTCATTTACTCCACACTTCTTCAGAATAGCATCTGAGATTTAGGGTTTATCACTGGCTGATCCTAAAGAAGTGGTCTGGATAATTTGCTCTGAAACTGTAAGTAATGAAAGTAAAGAAGAGGACTGGGAGTCGAGACGTGGGAAAGTTCATGCTGATTATACCGACTTCTTATTTTTCTTAAGGCATAAATATATAGATATATAGCTATAGAAATAATACTGGCTCAAAACCTTTCCAAAATTGAAAACTCAATAAAGGTAACACTTTAAATGTAAAATTGCATTTGGTATAGCACTCATGCTGAAATAAATTGATCCTGGGTAGAAGCAAAAATGTATCAAGTATAAAATGAAATTGCAATGACTTGAATCTATTTTATTGACCTTAATATTTGTTATATGTTTGTTTAACCTGGATTCGGGTCAGTGTGTTAATTCTTAATGCAGTGTGTAGTATCAGGGGTTTTTACCTTTTGATTAATCAAATAGATTACATCACCATTGAAAAAAACCTAATGATTAGATTTCGCACTCTGTAAGCAGGGGTTGAGGGCTTTTCAATCGTATGTAATCCTTTCATTTGCTGTGTATATTATGTGGATCCATTTGTGTGTGTACGTGTAACTTGGGATTCCCTTCATGCCTGCAAGTTCTCATAGGCCAGCGTATTGCATCGGATGAAGGGAGACACGTTCTGCTTGACCGTCAAGAGTGAGCCGCCAAGACACCAGGACATGGCTTGCTTGTCCGCGTCACCCCAGCGCTGCAGTGCCAGAAACGTGACGTTTTTCCGATGCTTTGACGTTCGGATCATCAGGTGATTTTTAGAGCCACTTTTAAAGAAACCTAACAATCATGGCAGCCATTACTGTTCCCACATTTACCTAAGAAGCCTCACTTGTCTTTTGTTTCTGAAAGAACTTGTTTTAGAGGGGACAGAATTATAGTTCACCCGGGAATTTGTGCTTCTTGCTTATCGTAAATAATGACTGCAACGTTTCTTTCTTTCTTCGTGTGTGTGTGTGTGTAAAGTTTTATTCTCCAAATGAACTACCTTAAAGATAAAAACGAGACATCCTTGTTACTTTTTATTGAAACTTGTTTGGATAGACACTGAAGAAAAATACCAACTTCATAGGAAACTTGCTCTTATGTTTTATGAAGGAAAGGGGAGTCAGTATTCCAACAAAGGAAACTTCTTAACCAGTTTAACAAAGCACAGTTGATGTGTTCCTATGATGGATTAGACTTTGTAATTAAGTGATACATAGTTCACGGATCATTCATGCAACATTTAACGTTTCATTTCTTCCCGAGTATGAGCAAGTCTATAAACACCCTGAAGTGCAGTGCCTGCCGATGTTGCCCATCCTAGCGTGCATGCAAACTAAAACTGGTGTTACATGCTAAGCATCGCAGAGACTGTCACTGCGACTGGTAAGAGCTTGACACGGGCAAGGAAAAGCATGCAGTCATGTGTGAGTGAGTAGCCGTCCTACCCATGTTACTGGAGTAGTGTTGTCCACTGTTCAGTTCCTCAGAAGGGGAAAATAAATGCTGCTGATCACATTTGCATTTATGGCTACTCTCTTAAAATGTGTGTCTTTCTCTGTCTAAAAACGGGACTAAAGTTGTTTTTATTGACTTAAGCGGCTAAGTTTGTAGATGTTTATGGCCCCCTTCCTCAGAATCTCATTTTTTATACAAGTCAAGGTTGTTTCAGAGAAGAAACCAGAAATGTATGGTTTCGGAAAATGCCTGCAACAGTCTAAATGTAATAAAGTATTTACTAAGTTAATTCTGTGGAATTTTCCATGTATCTAAAGAGTAGATGTTTAAGGATTATTTATTCACAATTACCATGAATGTGGTAGTATAAATTTATTGCAGCTGGAGTCGAAATACTTGTAGCTGAACTAAATACAAGATGGGTCTCATTTGCTGTTTTTTTGTAGAACTCCCCAGAAATTACCTTAAAAACTGAAGTTGGAGAATGTTAACAAAGTAAATCACTCCTCTAGATTCACAACACTAGATGTTATCAAATGCTAGAAGGAAGCTAACTGGTGGGCTCTAAGCTGGATTGTTTGGCCCCCCAGCCAGAATCTTCCTCAGTGTGACTGGTAGGTGGAGCATCGTGTGCTCACCGTGCAGAGCTCTGGGGTAGGTAGCTTTGCCGGAACTTCACTGCTGGCACGTCTGTGTTCTCTTCAAGTAGCTGGCAGGATACATCTCTCTTCCCTCCCTCTCACCGCAGATGACAATTTCATTAGCATAGTAATAGTTTGTATAGCAGAGTACCAAAAACCCATGGTTTGGTGGTGACTCCTATCTTACTACCTCAGCCAGGCAGTTTACTTTTTAAACTCACTACCATTTTAAATGTTTTAGATAATTCATTGTGATATGAAAGGATGGATAAAATGTATAATCAAGCTAACACATTTCTCCTATTGATATCAGAGTAAATCTCAGGGGATAAAAGGTGATTTTTCTTCTCTAGGAAGAAATGAAGATCTCCATCAGCAACAAACCCCAACCAGAGCAGAGCAAAGCAAAGAACAAAAATCCAAAACCCAGAGCTGTTAAGAGAGGCTTTTTCTTTTGATAGGGGCCTTCTCGCCCGCCTGGTTCCAGATCCGCATCAGTCCCAAATAAACACACAGGAGGCTATATTAATTATGAAGCTGTTGGCCTTGCTTATTTCTTACTGGCTAGCTCTGACTTAAGTAGTTACCTCATAATTGTTAATCTAAGTATGTCTCTTACCGGAGAAGTTTCCGGGCTCCTACCCGGCGTTACATGTCGACTCTCCTGTGTTTCTCCTACCCAGAATCCTCCTGGATTCCTAGCCCCACCTATCTAGATTCCTATTGGCCAGCAGTACTTTATTGACAAATGCACAGGCAAATAACAGGACTTCCCCAACACAGAGCAAAAACAAAATGAAGATCAAGAGAAAGACATATATGTAAAATGGAACATTTGCCACCACCTATTTAGAAAAATCCCTTGCAGTATAAACTAGGATAACCGATGTGGCACACCACGCATCTTTCTTAAGATAAATTTCTGCATTGTATCCTGTTAAAAGTCTTAACCTCTTTTGGCCTTCACAACAGCCCTGTGGCATTTTTGGAGTGGTCCTCTTTGGGTACTCTGAGGAAGTAAGTATAGAAAGCCTGTGACTAGCCTAGGATCGAGGAGCTGTGGGTCTGACTGCATGCTGTAGGTAGGGTTTCTCTTGTGAAGAGGCACCATGATCACAGCAACATTTTTTTTTTCGAGACAGGGTTTCTCTGTATTGTTTTGGAGGCTATCCTGGAACTCACTCTATCACACGATCACAACAACTTTTATAGAGGAAAACATTTAATTGATGCTGGCTTACACTTCAGAAGTTTAGTCCATTATCATCTGTGGGAAGCTGTCTTTTTGGGGCTGCAGTCGGAGCCAGCTGGGCAGCCCATGGTTCATATCTGAGAGGGGGGGTATGTGGACCGAGAAGGGCTAGCTAAGGGAGGTAAGAGACGAGACGGGGTCACAGGAATATTGTCAGGAGGGCCGTTCAGACCATACTCAATGCTGAGTGCCCCGAGTTTGTTCTTTAACATACTTAAGTATCCAATCAAGAGTGGGGACAATGGCAGAAGGCTTCAATTATCTTGTAAAAGGGGCAAAGAGACTTACTTCCCTTAATACTCAGGGTATTTGGTAGCCACACCTGCCATTAGGCCTTCAGGATCAAGAGTAACCCTCCCCCCCCATCTGTTGTTATTCAGATAAAGACATCACTACCAAGGCCGAAATATCCTGTAGCAGCCAAGCTTAGTCTCATAGGTATAAAGACAGTTTCAGAATCTCTGACCTTTAGTCGAGATGGAGTGGAGTCGTCTTTATGGGGCCCAACATCATGGTGGGGTGTATGGCGGCAGACACGGCTGGAGAGGGAGCTGAGAGCTCTACTTGATTGGCATGCAACAGGAAGTGAAGTTACCATGCTGGGCGTAGCTTGAGCCTGTAAGACCTCAAAGCCTGCCTCCACAGTGACACACTTCCTCTAGCGAAGCCACACCTGATAGTGCCACTCCCTACAGGCCAAGCGTTCAGACACAGGAATCTACGAGGGGCCACAGCTATTCAAACCACCACACAGCACCGAAGTGGCCAGCTCCTTATGAACTCCAGGATGAACAACAGAGTTGTGCTAGCATGTTCACAGTGAATAAGACAATAAAACCAAAAGAGCGAGTCCAACAATAATAAAACAGCCCACAGCCAAATTTACTAAATAAGACTCAAGTTATTAGATCAGAAATGAAGACGGGAAAGTGCTACAAAGTTTACAGGAAAGAAAAGCATGAGTTGTAAGAGATTGCAAACCACATGCCAGTTTGGATAAGCTACATGAAATGGGCAAATCCCTATAAACAAACACAAGAAGAAATAGGAAAATCTTAGTTACTTATGGCAACCGTGAATCAATTAAAAAAACAAAATCTATGAGGAATTTCACAGGTAAAGTCTACCAAACACAGAACTTGCAACAATGTTTCATTTATTCATGTTACAACACCCTGTGAAACCAGAATTAAACCAATACAGGATTGCATCCTAGACAAGAGCTACAGACTGACGTCCCTTATGAGTAGTATATATGCAAAAATTACCCCCCCCCAACCTAGCAAACTGGGGTCTTCAGAGATGGCTCACCAGGTAAGAGCACTTTCAGAGACATAGGTTCAGTTCCCAACACCTATAATTCCAGTTCCAAAGAATCTAACATTCTTCTAATCTCTTTGTGCAACACACACATTGTACATATACATACAGGTAAAGCACTCATACACAAATAGTAAACAATTGTCAATTATATTTTAATTATAATTATATCACTTCCCCTTCCTTTTCTTCCTCCTAGCCCTTTCCAAGTTTTTTCGCTCCAATGTTAAATTGATAGCCTTTTTAAAAATAGATATATATTCACTAATATATATTATTTTTGTCTATTACTATCTAGGCATATATCAATAGACATAAATATTATATCAATATATAATATTTGCTAATATATTGCTTATATCTATTAATATTTATATAAACATATATTTAATATACATTAATAAATATATAAATAATATACATTAGTTAATGTAAATCTATATATATATCCCTTTGAATCCACTTTTGCTTCTGTATATGTGGTTACAAGGCTGACTGCTGTGTATTGGATAACCAGTCAAGGAACTCATTTCTGGGAGTGACAAATTTCCCTTTCTCACATTATTAGCTGCCTGTAGTTTTTGTCTAGGAGAGGAAACTCATGAGACATTCTCCCTTCCTCATTTGCATGCCTATTGGTACTATTATTTGGATCTTGCTTATGGAGCCACTTTTTTTTTTTTGTTTTGTTTTGTTTTTCAGTTTAAATTTAGATAAGAAACAAGGTTGCTTCACAAGTCAGTTCCAGGTCCCTCTCCCTTTCCCTCCCCTCCTCCCGTGCCCTCCCCCCAACCCCCCCATTATCCCCTCATTCCTCCAGGGAGGGTGAGGCCCTCCATGGGGGTGTCCATAGTCTGCCATTTCATATAGGGCAGGGCCTAGACCCTTCCCCAAGAGTTCAGGGTGAGAGTCCTCTCATTGTTCTATGGGAGTCCAAAGTCCGTGTGTATACTCGGGATGGGTACTGATCTGCTGCCCAAGGCTCAATAGATTCCCTAGGCCTTATGGAGCCACTTCTAAGAGAGGCAACCACACAGCAGACTTCTTGGTACTCTGTCTCTTACATTCTTTCTGCCCCCTCTTATGTGATGGTTCTTGAGCCACAAATGCGGGAGCTGTGCGTCAGTCGTAGCCAATGGGGCTGGGCTCCCCCCAAACCCACCGGTGCTTGCATTGTGTCCTGATGTAGTTTTCTGTAATGGTCTCCACTTGCAACAGAGGGCAGTTTATTTGAGGACTGGGTGAGCTACATTTATCAGCAGGCATAAGGATAACACTTGGAATGTAGCTAAGGAATTATGCTGGTCGAGTGGAGTGGATTCTTTCCTGAGGTCCATGACCTCCCCACCCCAGGGAGAGCCGGCTTGTGTTTTTAGCACCAGGTGTGGTTTCCCTCCTGTTGAGTGATCTTTTAGACAACTGCCGGTGCCACCACCATGGGAGTACCACCACTGTGTCTTTGCTGGTGTCCTTCCATGCTGGCCGTTGTGGTTTATAGGTGTCACAGCCTGGTAGGAATACTGTTTCCCTTGTGACACGTTTCATAGTGTGTTCTTGAACCATGGAAATGAGGGGGCAGGAAAGAGGTTCTTAGGTCAGATTAAGCTTGAAGCACCTGAGTCCTGTGTCCTAAGCATGTGGCATACTCAGCAACTGGGGCTTACCTTCAGCTTCCGAGAGGCATCCAAGTACAATGTTATTAGCCTTTATTGCTTTGGACATCATTTGGACTACTCTGACCAACCACTTGAAAGGACGTACCGGTACTCTTGTTAGTTTACGGTTCTTGTGAGGAGTTCTGTCAGCTGAAGTAGCACATAACTTTAACATGTAGATATACATGCATGCACTTATGTGTATTATATATGCTCTGTGAATATATGTTGTCTTCAGTAATAGGACCTTGTAAGTAAACCAATGCAATGTGGAAACAAATATTTTTATTAACAGGAGAAAGCACTTACACACAAGCTGGGAGATCAGAAGTGTGGCAGGCTTCCAAGAGAGAGAGCTTTTTCTTTTTCTTTCCTTAAATATCTCACCTGTTCCACGTACCCTTGTCCATGCCCCTTTTGG